TGATAGAATGGTGAACAGCTATGGCATTGCTCGGAGGACATGGAAATGGACGAAGAAATTATTCTTCCACCTCCTAGACATGACTATTCTCAATGCATATCTGTTATACAAGTCATGTGATGGAAAAATGATGCACAAAAAATTCCGCGAAATTTTGGTGCGTGATTTGATTCATCAATCACATGAGGCAAATATCACAGTCAGTGGCATTTCTCGGGGGAGGCCAAGTTCATCTGGGGCCCAACTGAGTCGACTGGAGGTGAAACATTCAAAACACTGGCCAGCTAAAGGGAAACAAACACGTCGCAGGAGCACGCTTTTCTGCTATAAAAAGTGTGATATTGCGCCGTGTGTGGTGGACTGCTTCGAGAAATGGCACACGCGTGTCAGAGTGTAAACTGTGAAGTGACGCAGTCCGAACCAAATATTATTGTATATAGTGTCATCATATTTACATCACCAGCACGATTCAAAGTTTAAGAAAAACAACGGGTAAGTCCTTTAGAAATTCATAACGTATATAATAACGATTATATTTTGCATTTCATGACAAAATAATCACAGTTAATTTTCATTTGTAAAACTTGCCCTTTTGTGTATATGTAGAAAATTTTATTGTGTTTCAGGTTCTTTTTAGTTCATATTCTGATGTTGCATAGAACGGAAAATATGCATTTTTTCTGAAAGCTTGCAATGTTAAAGACTTAGGGCCATTTAAATTCTGGCCGTAGGGAGCTGCCGGCAATTTAAAAAAGTCCATACGTTAAAGGTTAAATTGGCCTTCCAGGGTGAGAAGCTCACAATTAACCAACTAAGCAATGGCAGAACCTTCTGTTTATAAATAGAGGACATTTATATTAGTTGTAATACATGGATATGCTTATCTGTAAACATGTGACATCTTACGAGTGAAAGATCCTGTTAAAACATAACTAAATATATATTCTTGATTAAGAGTTATAAATGAGTTTAAAAAATTGAAGCTGTGAAATTTTATAAGAGAATTAAAGGTGAAATCTAATGTAATGTCAAAAAGAGTAGAATTATTAGGAGAAGGTTGAATTGGACTCTAGATGTAGATCTTTGATCTCTCAGTTTGTTTATAAGTCAGGTTTGTTAGTGCACAGTAGGCGAAGTCAGGCACACTTTTCAGTTGCCACATAACGCAACACTTCCAGCACAGTCTGTTTTTGAAGTTATTCCTTTGGCCACTTCAGTCCCTTCAATAATAGTGTAGTAGAGTGCATGTGTTGAGCATGGATAGCATGAATAGGCTTCCAGTATCTTTATTAAGTAAAAGTGATTGAAAATGCTGAAGAAAACAGTTTTGCAATATTTCGGTTTTTGGACATTATCCTTCATCCTGTATTTTATGTAAAACACAATGTTTCAGGGAAAGGATTCTTTCCCAATTTTCATGTAAAAGCCTACCCAGTTGGGACTAGCTCTATCGATTTGACCTAACTGAGTTCGCTTTTACATGAAGATGGAGACAGAATCCAATCTTTGGAACACTGTGTTTTGAATAAAATACAGGATGATGGATTATGTCCAAAAACTCAATAAGTTTATTAATATACTTTTTTATATTGAAACAGTCTTTGTATGTTTTCTGTGTGATACTTTTATTGTTGAAATTCCAAATATAAAGGTTGTAAAAAGATTGCATATTGGTGGATTGCAAACTTTCTTTCTTATCAAGAGTTTTATAAATATGTGATTCCTGAATGTATACCATTGGACTCTGTCCTCAACCATTTCAGTGTTCTTCACATGATCACACCTTATTTTCCACAAAAATCATTTGGTATTAACCAGTCAGGTGGTTGTGACGTCTATAGGCGTCATGCGATACTGTGTCTCATAGTGCCTATGATGTCTGTAGGTGTCATGTAGGTTTATAGCTACTCTGTTGTAGATATAATGCCAGTTGGCAATGCGAACTTGTTCAATGTGCTTGTGAGATGTTCTAGTTACGTCAGAGTATGACAGGAAGTTGTTGATTGCCTGATAGCTGTCCTGGGTTCGAGTTCTTTTGCTAAACATTATGGCAGGTCCTAGCAGCAAGATACATGTAAGTGATGAGGAGGTGTTGTATGAACTGTTAAAGAGAATGAATACAGTGATACTTTGGAGGGTGGATATAGTAGTGATAATGAAATGTGAAAATTTCATCATGTGGTGAACAAGGTGTCAGCTCTGATGAAACAGAAAATGTCAGAAACATAAGTAGCATGGAGTCTGACGTATGGGCAAATTTAAGTGCTGAGTGACCATATATTCCATTTACTGGCAAGCCTGGCATAAATTTCGATTCAGAAGACCCCACTAACTCCTTGGAATATTTTGAGTTGTTTTGTACACAGACATTGTGGAAGTAATAGCCAGAGAAACAAATCAGTATGCCCAAAAATCTAAAACTAAATCTAGGACCCAGCATTGGGCTGGGTGGGTATTGAAAATTACGTAATTATAAAGTATTCACATTATCTGCCACTTGAGGTGTAGCAATGTTTCCAGTGGTTAGTGATGGTTTCTTAGTCTGTAAAAGATAATGATTTTGCAGTAGATGCTTGGAAGAACAGTTCAGTTCATTCATCCATTCTAGCCTTGAGCTTGCCCACAAGTCAATAAGAAACTCTGTTTATCAATATGGCTCCCACAGTGTCAGAATAAGCAAAGCTGGAAGCGTGTGATTTTTCTAGAGAGATTTGTCAGTAAACTACTATGATAGTGTTTCATTTCTAAACACCAGGCACCTGTCAAGATGACATATATTGAATGAGCATGGCTCAGGCATATTTGTGAGATCACATAGTCTGAATGGAAATTAAAGTCAGTAGCAACAGTGGGAGACTTTTTGAGAATAAGGCCAAAAGTACAGAATTTGACTGATATACAGGTGTCCCAGGAGGAATGGACCAAACTTCGGGAGGGTGTTCCTTATGTTAATGTATGCCGATAACCCAAAACACCTATGTCCAAAGTTGAACGGTTACAGAGATACTGGCCAGAGAAGTGTCAAACTTTGACCGGCGTTGCACACTTGTTGATTACAAAATACATTAAAACTGGCAGGAATATGTGGATTCTGTAATGTTAATAATGTATGTAACATTAAACTAACTTGTGAGTGACATGAAGCCATAAAATTTAAGAACAAAATACTCGCTCGCCATGTTATAATTATCCTTAGGGTTTCCAAGCACTATACATGACACATGAATGGCAAGCGCTGATGTAACNCCAAACTTCGGGAGGGTGTTCCTTATGTTAAAGTATGCCGATATAACCCAAAACACCTATGTCCAAAGTTGAACGGTTACGGAGATAATGGCCAGAGAAGTGTCAAACTTTGACCGGTGTTACACACTTGTTGATTACAAAATACATATTAAAACTGGCAGGAATATGTGGATTCTGTAATGTTAATAATGTACGTAACATCAAACTAACTTGTGAGTGACGGAAAGCCATAAAATTGAAGTACGAAATACTCGCTCGCCATGTCATAATTGTCCTTAGGGTTTCCAAGCACTATACATGACACATGACTGGCGAGCGATGACGTAATATGGCTGCGCTATAACCCGACCACATAACTGTGAAAATCTCTTTTGGAATTTCGTTTCCATTATCTCATGTGGATTATTATGGAACCACGTATGCACATTTCGTAAATTATTTACACCATCCAGGGTAAAAGACGCCTCATCACTGAATAAAATGACGCTTAACAGTTCGGGATGAGCTTTTTATCCAGTGGCACAAATCCATACGTTATGCATGGTCATGCTCTCGAAAATGATATTAAACCTGTAAGTTGAAATTTTATTGCATTTCAAAATGAAAGTTTGGAACAAAATTTGTAAAGCTTTATTTCGTTTTGTATGGAGTTCCAGTTCTGTAAATTTTGTGTTGTTAATATTCTGTTTAGTTGAGTTTAAAATCCAGCAATGAAATACAGTTTTGTTTGTGGGTTAGTGTGCTGCACTCATATCCAGATGGTCAGAGAATTGAATTCTAGTCAGCCTGTTTTGTAAAGCTTGTGATTGTAAATATCTCATTGATTATTAATGTTGTTATTGTTAGTAGTAGCATTTTCTTCAGGGGAGAACTTGCTACATAGGTACACAGTCAGGCTGCGCTAAATTTATTGGGTGTAAACTCAGAGTTTCATTCTGTCACCATACAGTATCTCTAATTGTTGAATTATGAATAATATTTCATATGTTGGGATGTAGGAATGTTTATGAAGTCTCTTCATACAAAATTTCTTCTTTGTAGCTCCAGTGGTCCATTAGTTAATGCTGTCAAACTGAAAGCGAAATGAAATGTTTTGCATGATCATAATGATGATGTCTCACATTCTATAAAAATTCTAAAAATTTATTACCATACCTCATTGTGTCACTCTCCTATGTCAAAACTTCAAGCACTCACTTTCATGTAATTGTTAATTGTCGGAAATTAAAAAAGCATGGCATCAAGTTGCATAACATTTGCACAAAATTTTGTGAAAACTGATTACTCAGTTTTCAAGTTTAAGAACACATGCAGATAGCAAGATGATGTCATAAGGCTAATTTGTAATTCTTAAAAATGGTGATCACAAAATGTGATAGTAAATTCCTTTTTCACTAAGTGTGTAACCATATGGTACTGCTTCCATAGAGATGGTGTGACTGCATTAAAGATCTGTCTCTCACCACCAAATCATCCAGTTAACTCATTGTGAGACTGCTGAGTAAACTACCAGGCTGACACTTTAACTTGAAGAAAGTTAATCCCCTTCAGCTCATGTTTGAGTTATCCACCTTGTCATATAGTTTTTCATAAATTTTTGCTTTGGCAGTCGTTCTGTAATGTTTTTCTAGACATTTCCTGACACTTTTTCTGTTATTTCTTAATGGCAGTAAGTATTCTCTTCATGTTAAACACAAATTAAGTTTATAAAAATAATTTGGCCCACTGTTGTTTCAGTACTGTTTTATTTTCAGGTGTTTGATGATGCCTATCGCTCACAGTTGAGCTGTATATTGGTGGAAGACACTGAACGTCTCCTTGATTACTATCAAATTGGACCACGTTATTGTAGCCTTACACTGCAGGCACTCCTCGTCCTTTTGAAAAAGCAACCTCCAAAAGGACGAAAACTTCTGATTCTATGTACAAGCAGCAGGAGGTAAGGTGTACTGCTGAGCATATGAATTTCACTATGTAACATTCATAAACTAGTGAAGGTTGCTGTTGATTCTGTAAAGGTTTGTGCCAATGGTCTGTTTTTTATTATAAACTTTTGTGTTTATATTGTCATCTTAGGTATATTTAAATTATACAGTGTTCCAGAAGCTGGATTTGCTTCCATCATCAGGCACAGAGGGGCAAATGATCCTACTCAGTTTGGCCTGTTGAAGACAGAGCAAGTCTCAGTCATCATGTACTTAAATTAGTATTGCTAGAAATCATAATGTACTATAAAAACACATGGTAAAGTGCTGCTCCATAGAGAGTTCTGTGGCTTTCGCTGCATCAAATTTTGGTATTAAGTCAGTATAGAGGTGATTTTTAGGTAGGCTGAGAATGTCTGCCTTGTATGAAGAGAACTTAATGGAGATTAGTTTGATTTGATGCATCCCATATTACTATCTGTATCCCTTATTGATTATGCTACATAGTCAGATAACATGTCTATTCTGAGAAAATTAATTTTCTCTGTGACATATTTCTGTTCTCTGACCATTGGGTCCATGCTTGTGTTGATTTTCTGTGTGTTGTGCTTACATATCACTTAACAGCCATATTGGATGAGAAGAAACTTTTTATTATAATACAAAACAAAAACAAATGAATATACATGGTGCAATCCAAACGTTCCCAAAATATATTAATAAAAACTATTACATCTTACCTAGATCTTATTCTGCACCATCACCTTCAAAGTAGTCCTCTTGGTAGCGCATACACCAATCCCAGTGTTTCTGCCACTTTTCAAATGCATCCTGGAAGTCTTTCTTTGTTAGGGTGTTTAGTACCATCTGCGTTTCCGCTTGAATTTCCTCAACTGTATCAAATCTTTGCCCCTTCAACTTGATTTTCATCTTGGGGAAGAGAAAGAAGTTGCATGGAGCTAAGTCTGGTGAGTAAGGTGGGTGGGGAACAACTGCCATCTTGCTTTTAGCCAAAAATTCCTGCACAATGTAAGCCATATGCAGTCGTGCGTTGTTATGGTGGAATACCCAGTCGTTCGTGCGCCACTTCTCTGGACGTTTTCTCCTCATGTTCTCCCTCAAACGCCTTAGAACATCGTGATAGAACTCTTTTTTTATTGACCGTCTGACCAGGAGGGACGAACTCCTTATGAACAAAAAACAGATCAACATGGACTTAATGTTGCTCTTGATTTGTCGAGCTTTTTTTGGCTGAGGTGAAGAAGGGCTCTTCCATTGCGATGATTGCTGCTTGCTTTCAGCGTTGTAGCCATAAACCCAACTTTCGTCACCAGTGACAACCTTCGAAAGAAAGTCTGGATCCTCTTGAAGCTGATGCTGAAGTTCCCTGCAGACTTCCAAGCGATGCTGCTTCTGTTCATTTTGCAGCAGTTGTGGCACAAACTTCGCCGCAATCCTCCTCATGTTCAGTTCCTCTGACAAAATTCGTTGACATGTACCATTACTTAGTCCCAAGGTGTTACATAGGTCTTGGATGGTCAGTCTACGATCTTGCAGAATCAGATCCCTAACTTTCGCGACATTTTCTGGTGTTTTGCCCATTGACGGCCGTCCCAAACGATTGTCATCATCAGTCTATGTTCGGCCATTTTTAGAACGCTTATACCAGTTGTAAGTTTGTGTCTGGCCTAAACTGCTTTCACCAAAAGCTTGCTTCAGCATTTGGTGCGTTTCTGCAGCAGTTTTTCCAAGTTTGAAACAAAACTTTATACAGACACGCTGCTCTCTCAGGTCAGCCATCGCAAAACCGCAAACTCACGGAAACACAACAATGGGAATACATTCACCAACAATAAACCCGACCACTCAACTCGACGCCGCTTGCCACACTGATTCAAGAAGGATGTGTGAGGAGACACCTAGCGGTATTTCGATGTACTCATAACCAATCGCGCGCAAAATTCAAATTTCGGAAACTTTTGGATTGCTCCACGTAGATCACTATTACCAACTTGAAAATTTTTACATTACTAGATTCTCAAGATTCTTCCTAATTTCAAAATGTTACAAACACATTTCTCATTTTCCTCCTTCATTTCAAAATTTTGTCAACATTATTAGTTGTTTTACAAAGTTAAATTGAATAACACTTAGTAATTTTGGTCTTCAGATTACAAATTAGTACATGTAATTACAATTTTCTCAGTCTTATCAAAATCAGACTTATTTCTTCTTAAGTATAATGTCTCTAAACTTGGTAAATTTCTCCGGTGATAGCGGTTTTGTTAAAATGTCTACCACCTGAGATTCGGTGTTACAATATTTGATTGAGAACAGTTTCTCCTTCAGGGGTTCACTTATGTAGTGATACCTAATGTCTGTGTGCTTACTCCTACGCGTTACTTGTCCACATTCCATTAGCTTGATTGCACTCTGATTCTCGACACACTGTTCAGCTTCCACCCTTTTTCCTGTCAACTCCTCTATCAGCATCTTTAGATATTTCAATTCTTTACAGCACTCAGCTGCTGCAATATATTTGGCCTCAGTGGTTGTTAATGCAACAATACTTTGTTTCCTAGAGCACCATGATATTGGGCCCCCTGACATCATAATTACATATCCCGTTACACTCTTCCTATCCTTTACATCCCCTGCATAATCAGCATCACTAAATGCTTCCAGTTTCACAGTTTCGGAGTCAGATGAGGTATATTTTATTCCTGAATCTCGTGTACCTTTCACATACCTGAGGGTCCTTTTGACATTTTGAACAGCTATTCTGCCAGGATTTCTCAAGGTTCGACTTTCCACATTTACAGCGAATGCCATATATAGCGGCTTCCTGCAGCTTCTCTGTAGGAAATCATATGTCATTTTCTCCTTTGTCATTTGTTGGTGGGGTCGTGGCCATGGCTGTTTCCATTTCTCAACTTTCTTGCATGTTGTATTTTTCCAACATTTGGCTTGCATAGTTGGTTTGAGAGATATGTATCCCATCTGGTTGCCTCTCAATTTGTATTCCTAAATAAACTTTTGGATTTGTGGTCTTTGTTATTTGGAATTGATTTTCCAGTTTCAGCAAAATTTCCTCTATTTGTCTTTCATCCTCTCCCATGATCATCCCGTCATCCACATGAATGGCCATGAACAAACTATTGGCATCATTCTTAAAAATGCAATGTCAGATTTTAGTTGGTTTAGACCTTCTTCTTTTGGGAAGGTTGTCAACTTCTTGTTCCATTGTGATGGTGCTTGCCTTAGGCCATATAATGCCTTTTTCAGGAGACATATCTTGCCAATGTTCTTGTATCCTTCTGGTATCTCCATGTAGTTTTCCTCCTCAAGGTCTCCATACAGGAAGGCAGTCTTCACATCAAAGGTTTGCATGTTCATATTCTTACGTGCTGCTATGGCAAACAGTACTCTAAGAGAATTCATGTCAACAACTGGGCTAAAGGTATCCTTGAAATCTATTTCCCCTTCCTTTTGTTGACATCCTCTCACAACCAGTCTGGCTTTGTGTCTTCCATCATCCTTTATTTTGAAAACCCATTTACTGGTCAGAATTTTCTTGTCCATTGCTTTCTCTCTGTTTACATATATCCAAGTTTTGTTTTGGTAGAGTGAATCCTTTTCCTCTTTAATGGCTTTCTTCCACTTTTCGCTGTCTTCGCTCTCCATGCACTCGTCATATGCATAGGTGAGCATACCCTCCTTTTGACTCTCTGTGTGATAGTCTTGGTATTTTGGGTGCATTTGAATGTTTCTTCTTGGTTTCAATGCATATATCCATGTTTGTTTTGTCCATTGTTTTTCCTTCCATTGTCCTTGTGGTCAGCATTTTCATTTTCTTCATCCTCTTCAGTATCTCTTGGTTCTTCTTCATTGTTGTCAGCTTTGGTTTCTTGCTGCATTTTGCTATCTTCCTGATCCGGAGTATTTGGCTTGTCTTCTGGATCCGTCACTCTTTCCATTTCCTTTTGTTTATTTGTTGTCACAGGTTTACTTGTGAATGTCACATCTCTGGAGACATAGGTCCTTTCAGTATTTGGATCCCATATTCTGTAGCCATTTGTGTTGTATCCAACGAATATTCCTTTCTTGCTACGACTGTCCAACTTTTTCAATGGCCCGCGAATTTTAGTGTACACTTCTGAACCAGAAATCTTCAATCCAGCCAGATCTGGTCTTTTACCATACCAATTTTTCGCTGGCATTCCATTCACTGTCACTGTTGGACTTCTGTTTAGCAGGTATGCAGAAGTGAGTACAGCTTCACCCCACATTCTCTTACTTAAACCTGAGTCAAAAATCAATGCTCTTGCCTTTTCCACAATGGTACGGTTCATCTTTTTGGCAATGCCGTTTAGCTGTGACGAATATGGTGTAGTAAATTCCATTACAATCCCCTTGTTCTTACACCATTCTCTCAAGGCGTTGTTCTTATATTCCCCTCCATTGTCGCATCTTATTCTTCTCACTCTTCTCACTTCTTGTATTGAAGTGACACTCAGCTTCATTTACATATTATTTCAAAAAGGTATATACTTCACTCTTATTTTCTAACAGGTATATCTTGCAAAAATGCGTATAATCATCCACACACGTAAGGAAATATTTCTTATTGTCATAAGTGGTGGGATCAATTGGTCCACACACGTTACTATGAATTATCTCTAATGGCTTTCCAGCCCTACTTCTTTCTGTATCAAATGGGAGTCTCACTTGTTTGGCCTGCATACAAACTGGACATGTATCAATATTTTTACACTTGCTCACACTTTCTTGTATCCCTTGGCATATCTCTTGTAGTTTCCTAAGATTCGCATAACTTATGTGACCTAGCTTTCTATGCCACTCTACACTTCTATCTTGCTGAGTCATCATAGCTTCATTCATTGGGCTAAAGTTAATTACAAACAATCCATTTTCATCCTTTTTTCCTTCGATTACAACATTTTTGTCCTTGAGTATCTGGACTTTCTCTTTTGTAAACAATGCTTCTCCATCATTTTCTGTAATACAGTGCAGTGACAGCAGGTTTTTGCTGAGTTCTGGAACATATGAAACGTTTTTCAAACTACACTCTTTAAATTCCAAATTGCCTATTTCTTTTGCAGTCATACTATGATTTTTTTTGCTGCCTTTATACATTGAGTATACTGCTTAGAATGTATCAAATCAGTCTTCACATTTGTCATATGACATGTGCTACCACTATCCACTACATACATTTTGTCTTTTTCGCTTGCATCACTCTCGTGGGTTTCTGCTGCATCAGCTAGAAAATTGACCTTGCTTCTTTTATTCGTGTCTTTAAAATAACAGTCCTTTTCAGCATGGTTCGTTTTCTTACGTACTGTACATTGTTTTCTCGTATAACTGTCCTTATTTCTAAAGTAACAGTCCTTTTCAGAGTGATCATTCCTTTTACAGATAGAGCAATTTCTCTTACCTTTGTTGGGGCAGTTGTTCTGGGCATGACCTATTTGATTACAATTGAAACACTTGAAAGAGGTTTTACTTTAGGTTTTAGTTACTGTCTTAAAAGGTATGCTTTTCTCTTCTTTAGTCATCATCTTGCACTTCATTTCTTCCAACATCAATCTGGCCACCAGGTTGTCGAGGGTTCTGTCGACGGTCGTTGA